CAGCTACTCAGAAGGCTGAGGCAGGAGAATGGCGTGAAACTGGGAGGCAGAGCTTGCAGTGAGCAGGGATCATGCCACTGCACTCCAGCCTGGGCGACAGAGCAAGACTCCGTCTCAAAAAAAAAAAAAAAAAAAAGATTGGGTGACATGGGTTTCCTCTGGCGCAGGAACTGAGTGACTGTGGGGCAGAGATGAGAGGAAGATGTTTACTATATGTCCTTTTGTGCCTTGTGTGTTTTGAACCATGTGATGTGAATATATCATCTAGTCAAAACTGAATACATATATTTAAAGAGAGGTTTGGAGTCTCAGATCACACCCAGATGAACAAACCATAGAAATTTTGAATGTGCAATGGAGGTCACCATTTCTGTGTTTTACTTTTCTGTTTTTCATGGAGTATGCCTCAGTGGAAAGATAGTCATAAAATATTCTAGGATTCCTTTAATCATCAACAATCACAAAATATTCCAGGACGCCTTTAGTAAAATTTCAAGGGTAGGCCGAATAAGGTAAAACTATTTCTGTGCTTCACAAATTGCTTTAACCCATAATGCAGGGTATGTTTTCAGTTTGAGATTATTGTGATATGTGACAGAACATTGTTCTCATTTTGATCTAGCAGTTCAGGGCCTAATTCAAGCTCAACATTCGTAACCATTGGGGCCATCTGGGCCACATGTCTGTGTTTCTAAAGCTTTCCCTTGGATTTGAACTCTTATCTTAGGATTTATTTTTCATGATTCCATTTTGATTTGTCTTTTTATTTTCTTCTTTTATTTTATGATTCTTTTAAATCATAAGAACTACTTCATGGAATGAGGTGGACTATTCTCAGTATTTATTCCAGAAAGTAACCATAAGTATAGGAGAATACACTTGAAAGGTTTTATACTGTTTTCTACAGTATTATCTGGTCCTTTTGGGTCTTAAAGAGTAGCTCACTAAGCAAAGAAGTAGAATACTGAATTAAGAATATGACTACATTCACTAAAAAACTGATTGCTTTGTAATCTTACGAACAAACTTCAAACCAAGCTACATATTAATTATGAGACAAAAGTTAGTCATAATGCACAAACTTCTAACCTTCTACTAACTGTGAGGGGCAGAGCCTGGGCTGGAACCGAGTATGTCCTGAAGTTAAGGAAAGATTTTCCCAGGATGGAGGCAGATGAGAGAAGTGATGTGGGAGCCAGAACCAAAGACAGGCAGGAAAGATAGATTTGGGAGGGGACCAAAATCCAGATTAAGACTAGCATGTTGGAATGTTATCCAGATTAGGATTTTGCCATAATTCAGATAAATACCAACATTTTAGAATACTATTAGTACCATCTATAAATCACACCTGCACTTATTTTCTATTTGTAACATTGTTAATAATTGCAAAAAAAACTCAGGAACAATTGAAATGACCAAACATAAGTGATAAATGGTTAACTATCTATCCAAAGAACAGAACGTTCGTTATACAGCCACTAAAAATAACTGTTTCAAAAAGTATGATGAGCCAGGCACAGTGGCTCATGCCTGTAATTTCAGCACTTTGGGAGGCTGAGGCAGGAGGATCATTTGAGGCCAGGTGTTCAACACTAGCCTGAGCAACATAACAAGAGCTTGTCTCAAAAAAAAAAAAATTTTTTTTTAATTAGCTTGGCATGGTGGCATGCCCCTGTAGTTTCAGCTACTTGGGAGGCTGAGGCAGAAAGATTGCTTGAGCCCAGGAGTTCAAGGCTGCAATGAGCTATGATTGTGCTACTGCACTCCAGCCTGAGTAACAGGGCAAGACCCAAGACCCAAGACTGCCTCTAAATATACATATATATATATATATGTATATGAGATACATATATTTGAATATATATAATGTATATAAAAGCTGCACAAAGCAGATGCATTATATATATATATAAAATGATATAGTTAGACTTTCAAATTTTCAAATACAATGCTGAGCGAGCAAGGAGAATATAATTTTGCTAAATTGACCCAGGGAAGAGGTGTTAAGGGAGGTAATAGTTACGTGTGTTTACATACACAGTCAGATTGTCATTTTATTTTCTTTTTTATAATTTCTTCTACTTGAAAACATTTTACAATAAATATCTACTATGTTTTAAAGCTAGAAAAATTATTTTGTAAGGTTTTCCACAACAAAGTCCTTGACTACAATAAGTCTGCCAGTGTGCAGGCATCCTTGCTGAATCATAGGTCCATTCTGGTCCCTCAAGGTAGAGATAAGAACTAAACCCCTAATGCTTGACAATATAATGCACACAGAAGATGTGTCCCAGAGACCTATAGAAACATGACATCCAAATCAATTAAGGCAACATATACGAAAGCACTTCTTAAAATCAGCAATGCAGGTGAATATCAGATACATTTAAAAGAACAAGCAAACTGACCAAATTGAACATTTTACAATTGTCAGTAATATAGTCTCATATATATGTCTTTTAAAGAGAACACTGGCGAATAAGGGCATCTTTTGTAAACCAGGGCCCTCAGATGTTCTCTTTAGTCACTAGATTCCACATAGAAAGGACTGGAAGAGCTTTTTGCAGCAACTTTGCATTATGTGGGTAACACTAGCAGCAGCCTGTCACTTCCTGCAGCACCCAGTGCAGTGACCATATTGAAAGTTTGACCTAGATTTGCTGACCATCAATGAGCAAGAACCTCAGTGGTACAAAAGCAACAAATACAAGTTTACAAACTTTCTTCATCCTTTTGCTCTATGGAAATAACATTTTCTACTTGGGACTTCAAACCCAATGATTCAAATGAAATTCTCACCCCATGTAATCTGGTCACACCTTCAAACAAATAATTTATATTGAGCACGGCTATCTGCCCAGTAATGTAATGAATGCAGATGCTCATTTAATGTAAACATACAGTGAAGAGAAGTAGCACGAGCAAGTGTCTGCCATGTGCTGGGCAGAAGCTGGACTCTGCAGTCTGGGTGCTGCTGGTATCTCCCAGTACCCCAGTGAGGCAACTGCTCCCACACATGGTTTGGACCGTGAGGGAGTTTCCACGGCATATGTAAACTGTCATGGTGCCTGTGGGAGTGTAGCAGTGAGGACGACCAGGACACTCTCATCACCATCTTGGTTTTGGTGGGTTTTAGCTGGCTTCTTTACTGCTTCCACAGCCTCAAAGAATCAACATGCAGTTTTCTCTGAGATCTTTCTTTCCTTTAAAAACATACTTTCACTCTCAAAACAGCAGAGAATGAAACTGTAACTGTTCATATGCTTGAATACAAATTATTTCTGCCTCAGGAAAGAAACTTTTCAGTATATTTAATTCATAAGTATCGCTTTCAATGAGGAAGTACATAAATGAATGAATTTATGAATGAACAAATGCATGAATATGAAGAACTTTGAAACTGGAGTCTATAAGAGAGCCAGGGTACTTATTCATCCAAGGACAGATGGCCTCAGAGAGTAGAGTTGCACAAAGCAGATGCAAAGAAAGGATGAAGGTGAGTGCATGGCTTCTCAGCCCTCTACTTCCCCACAGCTTGTGGCCCCTAGAGACTAGGCTTTGGGTGTGAACCTCAAAGAATGACAAGCAACAGAATGACTGCAGATTTTCCTGGAGCAAGTCTTGGTCATAGATCACTAATAATAACAACAGCCAGGCATGGTGAGTCTTGCCTGTAATCCCATCGTTACCAGAAAGGAGTGGCGATCTGGACCCCAAGAGAGGGTTCTTGGATCTTGATCAAGAAATAATTCAAAGAGTCTGTACGGTAAAGTGAAAGCAAGGTGATTAGGAAATTAAAGGAATATAAGTATGGCTACTCCAAAGAAAGCAAGTTGATTAGGAAAGTAAAGGAATAAAAGAATGGCTACTCCATAGAGCAGCCCAGAGGGCTGCTGGTTAACTATTTTTATGGTTTTCTGATTATATGCAAAACAAGGGGTGGATTATTCATGTCTCCCCTTTTTAGACCATATAGGGTAACTTACTGAGGTTTCCATGGCATTTGTAAACTGTCATGGTGCTGTTGGGAGTGTGGCAGTGAGGGTGACCAGGACACTTTCATCACCATCTTGGTTTTGGTGGGTTTTGGCTGGCTTCTTTAGGGCAATCTGTTTTATCAGCAAGGTCTTTATGACCTATATCTTGTGCTGACCTCCTGTCTCATCCTGTGACTTAGAATGCCTAACCTCTGGGAATGCAGCCCAGTAGGTTTCAGCCTTTTTTTTACCCAGCTCCTATTCAAGATGAAGTTGCTCTGGTTCCAACACCTCTGACCCCAGCACTTTAGGAAGCTGAGGTAGGTGGATCACTTGAGCCTAGGAGTTCAAGACCAGCCTGGGCAACATGGCAAAACCCCGCTTCTACTAAAAACACAAAAAATTAGCCAGGCAGGTGGTGCCTGATGCCTGTAGTCCCAGCTACCTGGGAGGCTGAAGTGGGAGGATCACCTAAGCCTGGGATGTCAAGGCTGCAGTAAGCCCTGATTGTGCCACTGCACTCCAGCCTGGGCAACAGGGTGAGACCCTATCTCAAAAAAACTAAAAATTAAAAATGGTTAGGCTGACTTGAAGCCTTTATAAGGAGGGAGAGCCGGGCCTTGCCAGGCCACCGGCCCCGCAGCGCCGTCCCAGGCCCTGCCGCCACCACCGCCTGCCCCTGGTCCCTGCCAGAGCAGGGTTACCGTCACACACGCGCCCATGCCTTCCGCCGTGCACTTCCGCTGGGTTCCCTCCGCTGCAGCCCACACAGGTACTGGAACCAGTGGAAGGAGACGGGCGGGACTTCCCCCGGTCAAGGTCAGGCCTCTTTCGGACTTGGTGGTGCCCTGTTCCTGTGCCGCGGGGTGTCGGGTCCTGGGAGGGAGGAGCCAAGTCCCAGTGGATACTGACGTTGTCTCTCGCTCTCTGGCGCTTTTCCCAGCCTTTTCCAGGTGTGTGACTTAATCCGTTTCCACAGCCAGACCTTTCTCTGTGAGTTCCTCAGCCGGGACTACCGCCATGCCGGTGACTGTTACCCACCCAACCGTCACAACCACCGTGGGGTCCCCCACCGTCATAGGGTCCCCTAGGGCCCTGACCCAGCCTCTGGGCCTCCTCCGCCTGCTGCAGCTGGTGTCCACCTGCATGGCCTTCTCGCTGGTGGCCAGCGCAGGCGCCTGGAGGGGACATATGGGTAACTGGTCCATGTTCACCTGGTGTTTCTGCTTTGCCGTGACCTTGGTCATACTCCTTGTGGAGCTGGGCGGGTTCCAGGCCCGGTTCCCCTTTTTTTGGCGCAACTTCCCCATCACCATCGCCTGCTATGCGGCCCTCCTGTGCCTCTCGGCCTCCATCATCTACCCCATCACCTACGTGCAGTTCCTATCCCACGGCCCTTCCCGCGACCACGCTATCGCCGCCACTGTCTTCTCTGGCATCGCGTGTCTGGCTTACGCCACCGAAGTAGCCTGGACCCGGGCCCGGCCCGGCGAGATCACTGGCTACATGGCCTCCGAGCCGGGGCTGCTGAAGGTGCTGGAGACCTTTGTGGCCTGCCTCATTTTCGTGTTCATCAGCAGCCCCTACCTGTACCACAACTGGCTGACCCTGGAGTGGTGCGTGGCGGTGTACGCCCTCTGCTTCGTCCTGGCAGCCCTCACTATCCTGCTGAACCTGGGACACTGCACCAACATGCTGCCCATCCCCTTCCACAGTTTCCTGTTGGGGCTGGCCTTGCTGTCCGTCCTCCTCTATGCCACTGCCCTTGTCCTCTGGCCCCTCTACCAGTTCAATGAGAATTATGGTGTCCAGTCCTGGCAGGCGAGAGATGTGAGCTGCAGCGACAGAAACCCCTACCTTGTGTGTATCTGGGACCGCCAACTGGCTGTGACCATCCTGTGACCAGCCACATCCTGGCTGTGTCTCATCCAACTTGCTGGCCTATGTGGGCGACCTGGTGTACTCTGCCCACCTGGTTTTTGTCAAGGTCTAAGACTCCCAAGGGGCCCCATTTGCCTCTCCAACCTCTTCATCCTTCTTTCCCGAGTTTTCTTACTGAGTATTCATTTCCTGTGTTTTCCTCTTCCCTATCTCCCCTCCTCTGCCTTTTTCTTTCCTTCCCAATTCATCGCACTCTTTCCCAGTTCTCCGATGTATGTTCTTCCCTTTCCTCTGCTGTTTCCTTCCTGTTTTGTTCTGTTGCCCACAACCTGTTTTCACCCCTGAGCTGTTTCTCTTTTTCCACTCTCTTCTTTCCTTCCTCTCATCTCTTTTCTAGGTTTCCTTTTGGTTTTCTCATCTGCCTATTTCCCGACCATCTTCTCCTATTTCCTTGGGAGCCCTGAGGCTTTTCTGCTCCTGCCCCCACGCACCTCCAGAGGTGATGAGCTCCAGATCTCCACACCCCCTGCAGCTGTCGGTGCCACGTCCTCCCAAGGGGCCTTCTGTCCACCCCTGCCCTAGCTGTGCCTTAGTCAATGTGTACCTGTGTGTGTTTGGGGGAGTGGGAATTGGGCCCCCTTTCTCCCAGTGGAGGAAGGTGTGCTGTGCACCTCCCCTTTAAATTAAAAAATATTTGTGTATCTCCGGAGGTCAATAATTTCCAGTGAGCGGGAGGCTTTAAGCGCAGACCCTGGGTCCCTAGGCCTTGCCTGGCACTCTGCCTTGCCAGAGATTGGCTCCAGAATTTGTGCCAGACTTATAGAAAACCCATTGCCTAGAGACCATCTTAAAGGAAGCAAGGGATGGATCCCTTTCATCCCACCTGTTATTCGCGGTATCAAAAAAAAAAAAAAAAAAAAAGTCAGGCAAAGAACCATAGGATCTTGAAGACAACTGTTTGAAGTATTTGTGAGGGACAATAATGTGGCCTTCCAGCCTCAGTGTTAAAAATAACTTTTAACACTGTGTCCTTTTAACTTTTAACACAGTGTCCTTCAGAACGTGTGGAAAGAGATAATAAATAAATAAATAAACAACATATCCTACTTTGGCAAAGAAAAGAAAATGGCCACTGCTGGCCTTCAAGGCAGTATCAGCTTGGGGTTTTTTCTCTTTCTTTCTTTTCTGTTTCCTGGTCATGAGGGCAGAAATTACTGGGTGGCCCTTAAAAAAAAAAAAAAAAAAAAAAAAGTTTCAGTCTGACAGGGTGGCTCACACCTGTAATCCCAGCACTTTGGGAGGCCGAGTTGGGTGGATCACTTGAGGTCACAAGTTCGAGACCAGCCTGGGCAACATGGCAAAAATTTGTCTTTACTAAAAATACAAAAATTAGCCCGGCATGGTGGAGGGTGCCTGTAGTCCCAGCTACTCGGGAAGCTTAGGCAGGAGACTGACTTGAACCCAGGAGGTGGAGTTGCAGTGAGCTGAGATTGTGGCACTGCACTCCAGCTTGGGCAACAAAGCCAGACTCTGTCTCAAAAAAAAGCCGGTCACAGTGTCTCATACCTGTAATGCCAGCACTTTGGGAGGCCGAGGCAGGTGCATCACCTGAGATCAGGAGTTTGAGATCAGCCTGGCCAACATGGTGAAACCCCATCTCTACTAAAAATACAAAAATTAGCCAGGCATGGTGGCCGACCCCTGTAATCCCGGCTACCCGGGAGGCTGAGGGACAAGAATCGCTTGTTTGAACGTGGGAGGTGGAGGTTGCAGTGAGCTGAGATCACGCCATTGCACTCTAGCCTGGGCAACAAGAGCAAAACTCAGTCTCAAAAAAAAAAAAAGGAAGTTTCTTTTTTCTCTATTGTGAGCTGATGTGAAGGTGAGGATTGCTGCTGCCCTAGCCAGAGGAATGGCTTTGCTTGAGTGTGTGGTGCACATACCCAGGTGTTGCTGTGTGCCAGTTGCTTCTTGCTGCTGCTTCCTGCTTCTCTGGGACTCACATGCATAGTGCAATATATATAAATGTGTGTTTGTGTGTGTGTGTGTATATATGTATGTATATATTTTTTAATTCCCTGGAACTTTTGGTTCCCATCAGCTCCTGCTGTTAATCATAGAAAAGAAAGCTTGCACCTTCCCTGATACCCACATCCATAATGTTTTTTTAAATATCAGTATAAAGGTAAAAAAGGGAAAAAATGATAATATAACAATAGCGACAGTATAGTTTTAGTAATAATAGGTAACATTTTTGAGTGTTTACCATGTTCCAGGCACTAAACTAAGCTCATTTCCTCAATCATCTCAACTAAGCTTCACTATAATCCAATTAAAAGGTACTATTATTAGCTCCATGTTACAGATCAAAATTCTGGCACAGAGAACACATTTAACTAGCCTAAACTACACAGCTAGTCTTATGCTATACACATGGTAATTAAATTACAAGGTGCCAATTATATTTTACATTTTATAAGTAATTAGATTGTATTCGTGTGGTCAATGTTTCTCAACCCAGCTGCACGTTAGCATCACCTAGCATCCTTCACGCTTGGAGTTCTGTGCAATGATTCTTACATGTCAAGTTAAAGGACTTCTATTCAGTAGTGCTCAGATGATTCTGGGTCCTAATCTTAGCGCTGAGGCAGGACTACCCTTGAGGGAGTCAGCCAGGCCCTTGGGTCACAGACACACTGGTCGAGTAACTGACAGGCATTGGAGACCACCCCTCATTTGCATATAGACTCACAGCCCAGCTAACACCGAAAATGCTCTCCTCTCCAGCTCTGTGTTGTTAGAAACCTCAAGTACAAAATTTTGATGTTTATTTCTTCAAATTACCTAAATAATGTTTACATTGAGAAATAAACAAGGGAAATGCCACCAAAAATTTGAATAAAAAGACTGTAGTATAATACAAACTTCCTTCCAGGGAAAACACACTGAAATAATTCATAGACTGTGAAAGCTGGTAAAACATGTATAGATCATCCAGTCTAATGGTCTCAATCCTGGCTGCACAGTAAAATCATTTTGAGAAGCTATTAAATAATACAACTGCCAGCTCCCACCCCACAATGTCTGATTTAATTGATCTGGGGTAGTCCCTGAAAAATGGTACTTTTAAAAGCTCCCAAGGGGATTTTTAATTTTTCAGCCATCGTAGGGAAGCACTGATTTAGCCCAGCCCCTCATTACCTGTAAAATGGCTTGCCCGAGGCCACCTAGAATGTCATAGGCAGTGCCACATATCTCTCTCTAGTCTTCTTTGAATCTATATTGAATCAGAACTATAGTTTCTTTCTGAAAATACTCAAGAAATCTTCTTAGAAAACGTGCTAACTGTAAGACAAAGAAAATCAAAATCAAACGTGATTACAAATATATACACTAATACCTAACATATCACAATTGTGACTTTTCAGTGAGTCGGTGTGTTAATTGTAATTGCTCATTAAAGTTGTTCTATTTTCCTTGCTTCAGTTATAGAGAGTGTGAAATGTTTCAGAGAAACCACATGGAAAGGTGATTGTCCAGATGCTGGCTAATGGGCAATGTCTTTGACCACACAAGGTTACATGCTCAGTGTGATGCTCTGAAAACCATTGCAGTTAATGAGCTAATCCTAATTGTGCTCATTTTCCAGCATCCTCAGTAGGCTTGTATCCTGGGAGACAGAATGTGTTTCAGGTCACTCATTCTAACCCCAGAAATCAAGGAAAATAACAGACTTCCACAGAAGCTGAACTGACCAGGCGATACTGTGACTAGGCAAGCATGGGCTTTTGACAGTAAATCCCAGAGAGGAACAGAGAGATGTAGATACTTGATCATTCTTTGCCTATAAACACAATGCTTACATACCCCCAAATCTGACTGTGAGTATATGTTTTGGGCAAACAAAATAAATATTTCTGTTTGCAAGCTAAAGAAAATAAAATATCAAAGCTAAATCCTATATGAGCTTAGTATCTTCAGTCAGCCACATAGAAATAGGCCAGTTTTGTGTGGAAAATGTTTCAGACAAATTAAGAATATTAAAACCAGTGCAGTTAAAGGTAATGTTTAATTTTACTTTCCAGACCACAAATTTTTAAGGCCTCTAGCCCAACCATTTATACAAAGTGCTAATTAAAAATGTTATCTGTATATTAAAGGAGTTTCTTATATAGTGTTAGAATCCAGTGCATTCAGCAAATGTGGATTGAGTGTTTACGACGTGACTTATTGAAAATATTATACAGCAGGGTGACCAGCTGGGAAATTAATTTGTGCTTTTTTTTGTTCTCAGTTGCTGCAGAGCCATCTGAAAGGAAGGAAAGGAAGGAATCAAGCCTCTGTGTTCTGGAAGTCAGGTACTTTTCACTCCCAAAAACACAGGTTCATCTGTGGTGGGTCTGAGGCTAAGTGCTCTGGGTTATCCAGTGCTTCCTGAAGCCCTAGTTTTGAAAGAAGAAGCAGGATGAGTTTTTCTGTATTGGAGATTGGCAGGGGAGGATTAGGCGTTGCTCCACTTGATAATGATGCAGAATTGTGAATAAGGACAAGGTTTGCAGATTCTGCAGCAGCTCAGTGGCAGGGTCTTGATGGTGTCAGGCACTTAAAGGGTACAGGGCAGGACATCGGGAGCCCAGTCTGGAGACCTACCCAAGATGCTCTCATGTGGAGTTTCCACAGAACCTGAGCAAGGACCTGGACCTGGGGATGTGGAATAGCAATACTGGGCTCATAAATGGGACCACAAATGGACCCAACATCTGAGCTACAGCATCATGTGACCATAAAAATAACAGTCATAAACGCAACCCTGGATGAGACCAGGGATTTGCCCCACTCAAGAACGGGGAGGCTGCAAGACCACTTTATAAGGATGACACAAGCCTATAGCAGGACTGTACAAAACAAGGTTGGACATCTTTTAAAATGATTAATATTGGATTTTTCACTGGTTTGCACATGTGGGAGCTAATACCAGTTCTCATAAAATCCTTCTCAAGAAAGATAAAATTATTCCCTGA